AGCACCTCGGTCCTCAAACAGATCTCAGATAAGCTCAGGGCAGTTTATAAATCTCGGTCTGTATAGATTTTTACAACAAAAACAAGAAAATTAATTTATTATAAAAAATTGGTTTTCCATCGATTAGCAATTGCATTTCAGTTCATTCCATGACTCCTTCACTTCTTCAAGATAATTGCAACAATGTGTAAATCTAATATTCAGATCAGTGTGCATAATAGCAATTTAATGAGAGACAGACAATATATTGTAAATCATAAAATTAGCTGTGCAACATGTATCATTTCAAGAAATGTAGTAGGCATTTGGACTGGGACTTGTGTTACTTTGGTTTTCTCCTGTACACACGTTTAATTCAAATGATCAGCCCTTTTGAATTGTAAATAATGCACATTTGTTGTACATGATATCATATTTGCAGGTCCGTATGGTTTGCCTTTCTTGGCTCACTTAATCATAATCATTGCATGAATCTGAGCCAGACTTGAGAATGAAACCACTGTGCATCGCTGAATTAGGAGGTCAGTAAATGGCTTCGAAGAATTTGACGTCTGCATAAAGTTGCATGGAATGACCTTACAGATCATAAATCAGGGCAATTATCAAGTAGCATGGTGTCAGATACAGAAGAGCAAAGTCAAAGAGGAATTGTAACTTCCCAGAATTTTTAATAGTATGTTTACTTGTTTTTATATTTGAGAAATGTGTAGTTGTGAGAGTTGAAAAATGAAATTAAATGTAGAAACCCTCACCTCTCTGTGAGCCTCCTTCTTGGCTCCCTGTCAATCATTGTTATAAAGCTTGTCCTTTGCACTTGGCAGTCAACATTGAGAAAGCATGCAGAGGAGAAATGAAACAATCAGGGTTATTCAAAGGTGCAGTGAAAGTGATTTCCTAATTTAATGTCAAACTGAGAAATTCTAGAATTTTTATTTTAGCTACTTTGGCCTTAGATTTAAAAAAAACGTTGAATTCCTGCTTTATTACATAACCCTGTATGTTTCCTTTTCTGCCCTTCATTTGCAGTGTTGGCCTTGTTCCAACTGGATTTTGATGCCATTTGATAACTCTTCAGTATAATTTTAAGAAAAAAACAAAAACAAAAAAGTTAACACAAGTTAAAAGTGATTTTCGATGTTTTATGCATTTATGTAAATTACAGATACATGGCTGTCCTTTTCTTAATGATGCATTCCAAATGAGCAACTCTAGATCTGTCCGAGGGTACACAATGACATGATAGAGGAACACATGAATGGGATACGGGGTTCTCCAGGTCAGAACGACTTTGACATTGAGACATTGAGACAAGATATCACGTTTAAGTTTTAAAGTAAGGAAAAGATTATACATTCTTAGGAAGAAACATGTTGAGTGTCAGAGGTGATAGGCATTACAACAGTCCTATGATGTTATTGATCCATGTCTATGTTAACCTGCACTTATTATGTGCGAAAAAGGGAACAAAACCGGTGTGACTTCAGATTGTTCCGTGCTTTTACTTTTAGATCCAAGTCTAGAATTGACCTTGAAACGCATGATCCAGGGTCAAAGTGTGTCACTTTAAGTACAAATTCTGCTCAAAATCTGTGTAAAGCACTAGTTCTGTTACACAGTGGATTGTATTGCTTTTTCAGTTTTAAGTCTTTGACGAGATTAATAAATTATCGGAGGCAGAACAGAGTATTGACTGTCTGGTGCTAATTCAATGCTGAGATAAAGAGGTTATGGATGTTAATTTGGTCTGCAATCAGTTAACCCCAAGTCCCGCATGTGGATATGGAACTGAAGTATCTGGTAAGCATCTCGGTATATTAAACCGTCACCTAAACAGTGCAATCAAATCCTATTTAGCAGTGAGGGACACCTTAAAAACCTACACTATATTTATTCATTTTGTAAAATGCGTGTTTGCAGACTTCAATAAAGAACACTTAAAACATTTTAGCTTAAGTGTTAGTTATGTATCATCAAATAATGTATTCAGCAATGCTTGTTATACTTGACACAAAACATATTTGAGTTGAAAGCTGATTAAATATCACAAAGTATGGGGCTGTAGTATCCTTTATTGGCTTTGTGATTAAGGATGTGTCAACTTTGTTAGCGCAGTTCTTCATTCACTGCACATGTAGATAGAATGATGTGTGCTAAAATAGTTTTGTGCATGTATGTTCAAATACATACATGGACATTGCAGTACATTATTTATATTGTACAGGACACTGAAAGGATTACTCAGGACATGGACAATTTGTTGCCAAACCCCAGTAGAAATAAAATGTAAAAAAACCCCATCAAAGTGGGTATATACATACCACTACGGTATATATTGATTCACAATTGTATAAATAAAATAAAAACCATGGCTCATGCAGGGTCTAGCAAACTATTAAAGGTGTACTACAGAGGCAGGAACACAAACATGTATTTCTGACTCTATGGTGGTAAAAGCCTCCCTCCCCCCCACACCCTTGCCTCACTAAATATGGTAAAATCTTACTTGTATTCAAGTCTGCAGCTGCTGGCTCTGCCTCTATCTGCCTGATATCTGCTGACATCATCAGAAGTAGTGGTCTGAGTCAATCACAATGCTTTCCCATAGGATTGGCTGAGACTGTCAAAGAGGCAGATCAGTGGCAGAGCCAGCAAAAGTCAAACACAGCCCTGGCCAATCAACATCTCCTCATAGAGATGAATTGAATCAATGCATCTCTATGAGGAAAGTTCAGTGTCTGCATGCAGAGGGTGGAGACACTGAATGTCAGTGCTGTTTACTCTGCAGCACTGCCCAAAGAAGCAGCTTTAGTAGCCATCTGAGGAGTGGCTAGTGGAGTTATCACTAGGCTGTAATGTAAACACTGCATTTTCTCTGAAAAGACAGCGTTTACAGCACAAAGCCTGAAGGAAATCATTATACTCACCAGAACAAATGCAATAAGCTGTAGTTGTTCTGATGACTATAGTGTCCTTTTAACAGAGCAGGAGATCCGGAATTCTAAATTAAACAGATTTGCAATAAAGTAAGTGTAAACATTAGATGACTCTTTACAGGAAGTGGTTAGGAATGTAGTGTAAGTCATATGCAGGATGGTGTGACTAGGGTTGTATAAACAAAGTAATTTAAATCTTAAATGGCAGCGAATGGAGAAGTGAGACTGTAGGGGCATGATCTATACACCAAAACTACTTCATTAAGCTGATGTTGTTTTGATGACTACAGTATCTATTAACTTGTTTTTACTCCTCCAGAACCCCCAGTACATGCATGCTAAGTTATTTAAATAATAAAATAAGATCTCAATTGTAAAAGTCCCCAGCTTGCAGCTGAAAGTGCCAGTATTTGCATATTACTGAAGGATATCCCTCACTAAACTCACTGAATTTGTTTAGCCCCTCTAAACCTAAAGTATTGGTAACTGAGAATTTCCCAGAAACTACTACCCAGAAGGAATAATGGCTATACAGTGCAGAACGTGACTTAATTTCATGCATTAAGAAACATGACACGAACTGCTACTCAAGATACAGTACAAATCATAGCGAACAATACAGGTAAAATAAAATAAAAAGCATACCAATGAGTATTGGGTAAGATTGCGCCTAATAACAGCTGAAAATTATCTGGTAAGTACACAAGGAGGATTTTTTAATATATATATATATATATATTTATATATATATATATATATATATATATTTATTAATGTGTTGAAAACATTTTTAAAAGCTTAGCCAAAAATATTAACTTACGGCCTAAATTACACAATAACATGATTTCTTAGAATGGAATAAGTCAGTTAGTACAGATTCTCTTTCCGGCTTGTGAATTATTATTTTTTTCAATTTTTACAAGAATGTGTGCTGCTATTAAGCAGGTGGTCAAGGTCAATCTATGTGCTGAGTTGGTTTTATTAAGCGAATTGAATCGCTCACCCTTCCAGAGAGACTTAATCACTGTTAGCCCTTATAGTGCTGCCAAGTTGACACATGCTATTTGTGAAGCTTTGACAATTTGATGGTACCAAAAGGGTTATCAATGGCATTTATAAATATTTTTATATTACCAAATGCAAAGTTATTACTTTTACTTTACGCAATTGTTAACTTACCATACACTTTAAACAAGTGCAACTAGGCTGTTTTTTGTGGCGATAAGCTTGCAGAAATTTAATTTACTCAGTTGATCAGTTTGTTAGACAGCTCCAGAACTTAATTTAATCTATTCTCACTGCGTACAGTACTTTACCATTAACAGTAAAGCTGTATGTTCCCCTCCTGGGTTTTGATCTATTGTGAGATTTCAGACTAATTGTCTGTATTTGACCCTGCTGACAAAACAGCAATTGTCCCATTTGTTTCATACAGAAAAGCAGCACAGGGGCTGAGATGTTAGTGACATGATTCCGTGCAACATTTCACATGTGCAGATAAAAACAAAAACAAGTTTAAATTTAATTTTGCATATTTTGAAAAACAATCATAAAGACAATCCAACATATTTTCCTGTGAATTAACGTTAATGCCCTAACATTAGGAAATCTCATTTAAGCAGGGCCCTTCTCACCTGTCTGTCATTCACCTATTTGTATCTCTCAACTTTGTACCAGTGATGTAGAATGTCTGAAGAATAAGTTGTCACTATAAAAATGCTAAAAGCCTTGAAGAAGACCTCATACAGGTGAAGCATTTTACATTTGATGGATAGACCTGGACATGGATGTGGGTTTAATATATTTAAAATTTATAAACAGCAGTGATATGACTGATTTTTCCTACATACAATAGAGCATTTACCATTGATGGCGTGCCATATAATATATGTCTGTGATTGTCCACAGTTGTTTGCAAGAAACAAAAACACAAAAGTATAATGCACACACTAAAAAAACAGGGGAATAGCTCCTGCAGGGTGCTCCAGAAAGGTAGGGCAAATCCCTGAAGACATTAAAATGCAAGAAAATAAATATCCAGGCGCACCTGAGGTTTCTTTTTATTTGAAACAAGAAAGTGGAGACAACGTTTCAGCTCCTCTCTGAGCTTTATCAAGTCTCAGTATCAATACTTCATAAAAACTCAGAGATGAGCCGAAACATTGTCTCCACTTTCTCGTTCCCAAAATTAAAAGCTTTTTAGAAGAAACCTCAGGTGTGCCTCACTATTTCTTTTCTTCTGTGTGATTGCCCACAGCTGAACATTAACGTTTAGATTTACTTCTTTCAGTGGAGCGGTGTGCTTTCAATTACATTATTTAGTCAGGTTATTATCTGCTTCATGTATCTTAGTGTCTCTTCTAAATTTTTCCAGACATTCCAAAGGCAATTATCAATGGTTTATTTTCACATTTTGAACTGAAATTATCTACCTTGAGCTCAATGCATGGTGTTGCAAGCAGGGCATGGGGATTGCTATTCTATAAATATACCTGGTTAATTGTGCCTAGAGCAACCTATTCAACCATATAATTGCATGTATCCCATTAGGTCATAATTTCGTGAAAGGAATCATGAGACAGTTATGAGTGGCACACTTAGCAGTGGGGGTACTTTGGAAAGGTGGCACCATTGATGCGTGGAAGCAGACATTTTGCTTCAACTTACCTCTAAGGTAAAACGCCCATCAAAGAACTTGTCACCAGTGTTTTATGCCATGACCAAAAAGAGAACTGTCACAAACAAGGGTGACAGCTATGTTTGAATATGCCATATTTATAGATTTAAGAGTATTCAAACTTTCGGATTTTTCTTAAGTGCTAATGTATTCTTTCATTGTTAGAAAGCAGATTTGTCCTCATTTTTAAAATCCTTTAACTACTTGGTAAATCTGGGTTATTTCATTTAGGCATTTAGTAGATAACATGCAGTTGTACCATTATATCAACTAATTTGATATTTTGTCATGATTAACTTTGATTTGGACAACCCCTCTCCCCCCCCAAAAAACCAAACACACAAACACAACGGTGGCTGGCTTATCTTTTCCCCAGTATTAAGTATTGTTTTTACAGATAAAGATAGCGAATGGACAAATTGCTACAATTATGAACATTTGTTTTAGTTTGCAATAAATGTATTATGTTATGAAACTACATATTAAAGTAGGTCATTGCTGTGTTACAAATGTGTTACCGAACACAATAATCTGCCTTGAATCTTCTAAAAGCTTCTGCAATTTATAAATAAACATACTATTAGGTTTGTTATAAACTAAAAATCATTACAAAAAAGGACCCAACATCTAACAAGAATTTAAAAATGTTCTGTAACCGTGAATTATTGTGCACACTATATGATATAGTCTGTAATGCAGGAAAGATTTCAGAAAAATCAAAGAAAAAAACCAATTCATTAAATATTTATTTCAAGATCTCAAAAATATATCTTTTAGAATCATTTTAAGGAAAGAAAATTAATCTGAGACAGAATGATACAAAAAGGTGTAAAGAAAGACAAAATGCATAAGTCAATCAATGATACTTTAAAGAAATTGCATCTTTGTAGAAAATGCATAGAGGACACATGAAGTGAATCACATCTTTAGAGAAAGTTCAACTTTAACTGGACCACATGTGAACACACACAAAAAAATATATATAAAAAAAATAAAAATAAAAAATCACAACAATGAAAACCAAACTACCTGGTACCTGTTTTGCTTAAAATAAGATATCACCCCATGCTAATATTCAACTAATAAGTGATGAATAATTGGTCTGTAAAGCTTCTTAAAGCAAAATTATTAAAAATGTTGTGAATTTAGAGCCATGATCTCCACAAGCAAAATTAGAATTTAATTTGATCAACAGCAATTATAGATCTCTGCAGGCACCAAGCGAGGAAAAATTCAACACAGAAAAGTAACAGGACTAAGAGATAATCCTTCATATGCAAATCTGTTTCTTTAAGTTAGACCTTATTTTTTATGTCAGAAAATGACTTTGTATCGGGACTAATAATAGAGTTAGACATGGACATTTGCTAAATTAGTCATTTATTAAAGTAACAGTAAATTGCACATTTGAAGACAAAATAGCCAAAATGTGGCTTTGTTTCCAGATTTCATCATCTAGTTTTTCAATTCTCTGCAAATCTCAGTTTAGAGACATTGATCGATGGGTATTGTTACCAGCCGAAATATATAAATCTGATTTTCATCAATGACCTATACAGATGGAATACATGGACAACCTAAAAGAGGTTTAAAATAGAAAACCAGATGCTCTGCATATTAGCAAAGACATTTTGACTTGTGGCCAAATTACGCTTGCAGCCTTCATTGTTTATCAGTAGATGAAATGATGCCTGTCCAGTAGGTTTTGTTCTTCATTTGCACCACTGATGATCCAGAAACAAATCATTCAAAGCTCATTGTGATTTAGTCCATCTTTGGAAACCCTGCTTGTAAGGTCCTGTAGATGCTTCTTCACCTATTTAAAAAAAATAAAAATAATGGATACGGTAAGGATTAATCAATCATGCAACTATAATGGCAGATGTGTTTCTGGTAATCAACACTTTTCTGAAAAGTACATCATTTAACTTTTTTCACGTAATTCTCCATTTTCTTTGGAATGTATATTAAAGATTTGGCAAATTCCATCACAGAACCAGTTCAGTCCTGGCACAGGAAAGACACAAACTGCATTGTTTGTTTCTCCATGCATGTTCAATGACAGAAAAGGGCAGAGCTTAGAACAATAATTGATGGGGAGCCAAGATAGAAAGGCTTGCTTCCAGGATGGAGCTATATAGATTGCTATGTTGAGTTATATATTTCAGACAAAATTAATTTCTTAAAATGTAAGGCATAAGGTAACAATGTTAAAATCCTGGTAAGAGGTCCCCTTTCAGATGGGTTAACATTTTAAATGCATACTTTAGTATTGGATGAGAATTTTTAGAGTACTATAAACATGTAACTGAATCTAGTCTAGGATTTGTGCTATAAGGGTTTATTTGATAAAAAGCTAAATTACAACCGAAGAGAATTTTTTTTAAATCATTTATTTTGATTAGACTTTTGCATTTCAAGAAGGAAAACATGGGAAAGTACAGTCACAAAGTCCTGCGTTCCAGACATTTACCCCTTAAGGACTATTGGCGTCTATGCTATAACAATCTATTTCTTAAGGACTTAATGGAATGACTTACTCAGTGACATTAGGGCTGCATAGATAATATCTTTAGGGACCAGATTATATTTTCTCATAATAAAATTATTAATTTATACGGTGGCCATCCATAAAAGAAGCATAGACAAACTGCTTTTCCCTCCCTCGCGTGATTTATTTTGTCACAAACTAAATAATGTATATTTTTAATGGGACACTTTAGGCACTGCAACTGCTTCATTTTATTGAAGTGGTTACAAAAATCTGGAGTCTTCTGGCACTGCCCTTCCTCTGTAAGTTGAGCCATTTTTAATGCTCAATGAGAGTCCCCAGGAGCTCACCCTCTCCATGTTGCTTGGTCTACTGAGGAAGCTTAGCCTGAGCAGCATCTATGGTTAATCCCTCCCTGGATTTCAGGTCCACGTAAATTAAAACTTTATATAAAAACTAAATAAATCAATAATTATGGATGGGTTGAAGCAACCCTTGGGGGACGGGGGAATCACCTAAATGGTGACTAGGACACTATAGGCTTTATGATTACAAATGTGTGTTCCTAACGCTATGGTGTTCCTTTAACCTGGCAATGGAAAAATATTAGTTTTGTAGAAACTGAAATGCTTAGATTGCAGGGTTAAATACACCGCCAGTGGCAGTCTTCCTTGTCCATAACAAGTGAAACCCTGTGCTGGTATCAAATGCGCTCATAGCATAATTTGATTGGAGGAAGGCAGCGTTTGGCTGTGCAGGTTTTTCTCCAAATAAAATGCTTCTCTATGAGAAGCATTGGATTGGAGGTGATCGCAGAAGATGTCAGCATGCATGCAATCTTCGAAGGTAGCGGTGGAGTTTTGGTACTTGAAAAGAGGTAAGTAATAATTAACTTTCATTTTTCAGGACAGTGATCACACTGCTAAAAAGGGACCTAGAGTCCCAAAAAGCATGGTTATTTTTCAGACTACAGGTTCCTTTTGACTAACATACTTTTACATTCTGCTGCTATGTTTGGGATACACATTCCTCAAAATACCAGCAGAATATAAAAATCTGTACAGTATATTCTTGCCTTTCTATACCAATTACTCTGAAGGTGATGGAAATTCATTCAAAAGTAAAGGATAGTGCATAAAATTTATTTTATAGCACCCACCCCAATAAAAAATAAAAATCATTAACCAATTGTATTTGAAATCCTAAAAAATTGCATTCAAACAAAAAAAACTTAAGTGTGCCTAGATTCCCCCCTATTATAGACACATTGTTTATATACCATGTTGGCAATATACAAACAACCCATTTGTACTCCTAACAGAATGTACTCTGACTTTACTTATGGTAAGTAGAGAAGAAGATTGTTTGAAAAGAGCATTCACTACATCTTATCCCTGCCAAACTTGTGAGTGGAACTAACTTGTATGTTGTGAACTAATTGTAAAGTGATGCAGAACATGTTGGTGCTTTAAATAAATAAATGATAAACAACGCACCTTATACCCCAATTCTTTGATCTTATCAGTAAGCATGTTATATTTTTCTTTGCTCTTTGTTAGGTGTTCTTTGTCTCCGCTTTCTGCAATATGCTTTAGCTTTTCATGGGATATTTCCAGCTGTTTTTTGTAATGCTGATGTTTCTCCAGTTTTGTTTCAAAATGCTTTAATTCTTCCTAAAATAATAAAATATTAATAACCAAAAATTGAAAACAAACAATGTATACATTTTCAGAAATAACACACACACACACACACACACACACACACACCTGCAGTTTTAGAAATCTACTTGGTAACAAATTCTAGCTGTCATGCAAACAGCAGGAAGTGTTTCTACCTCACTCGCTTTGAACTGTACTTAAAAACGGAAATGAGAAGTATCGGTTTCAGTGCTTCTCTATGAAGCATTTGTGGTGAATTACAAGGATTGCTGCGCATGTGCACAGGGTCTGAATGAACCTATCTAGATATCCTACGAACATAGCAGAAGGCAAGCAGAGCTAGATGTATCACTTCAGCGTTCTGACTTCGGATTTATAATTTATTTATTTTAAATCAATCATTCATAATTACCAGCTTTCAGACTTTTTAGTCAAAAACAAACTCCAAAATGAGAACTTCAGGTGGATATCAATAGTGAAGAAATATTCGATTTACATGACAAGTAGAATATTGATGTACACAATACATCAATGTGTTAGTGCTATCAGGGGACCCAAGAAAAATGTCCCTGTGAGGACTGAAACATTGATCTCTTGTATGCATTCCTACTTGACATGTAAATAAAATTAAATTCCTCCACACCAACTGTTGAAATCCAGTTATGTGTGCTCATTTAGGAAGATAGATAGTTTGAACATCCTAATGCCTATAAAAGAGCAGTATTCATTTTATTATTAATGGAAGTTCTCCTTTACCTTAAATGATTCCAGTTCTGCGTCTGAGAAGTTTGCAGTCTTTGCCATGTCCCATAAGTCATTTACTCTAGGCTGAATAAACTCTGGAATAATTAACAGGAGAACAGAAAATGTAACATACTTTAAAGCAAGGAGTACAACGTTCCTTGGTTCCTACCATTTTAGGAGCAGATAATGGCCTACTGCCAGAAACGGGGAAGGGCAGGTTGGGCTTATTCTGGAGATGGAAAACAGGGAGAATGGGCTAAGAAGGGAGAGAATAAGTCAATCCCGGAAAGTGGAAGTGGAGTGAGAGCCAATATCGGCGATAGGGGAGAGGGGTTAAACAGGCTGCCAATGAGTGTTTTAGCTTGCGACATCTGAAGGAGTATGGACAACAAATACACACGACACTCAGTGTAATCATGCCCCACTCACACCTCCGTATACAGGATTGCACAAATATGTACACACATGCCTCCCCCCAACATACCCTGGCATTAGTTATTCTCTGTTCTAACAATTGTACATGTTCTAGTCATTGTTTTAATCTGAATGTGAACTGTATTCTATTTTCAGATAATTATAACTTTTATGGCCTTGATTTAATACGTTTTCTAAATGATTAAATATTGTTAGAAAAGGTTCCAAGTGATTTATCCACAGAAGTCACCATTAAAGGAACACTATAGGCACCCAGACCACTTCAGCTCATTGAATTGAAGTGGTCTGGGTGCAATGTCCCTGCCCCCTTAACCCGGCAATTGTAATTATAACAGTTTCTGTAAAACTGCAATAATTACATTGCAGGGTTATGACAGTCTCTAGCGGCTGACAATCTGTAGATAGACAGCAGCTGCCCGGGCCCAGCTATTCCTTGGGAATATAAAGACACTGTGGTGCGGCCACTGCCCTGGCCCACGTGGAATAACAGTCGAGGCCTCGTGTTGAGGGGGACCATCAGGGGGCCAATCCAGTTAGGAGCTCCTGATAGCAATGTGTAACAGAACCGCTGGCACCCCGACCAGGTACCTTCCGTTGACGGATGCTTTTTGAGGGCTCCAAGCACTCCACCTGACATCATAACCACCACAGACCCCACAAACCACTGCATCTTGGTTGGGGTCTCGCCGTCTCTACACACTAGGGTCCAGCTTCCAGTAGGTCGACCTCTCTGAATTCCAGAGAGCAGGCACAAGAACAAGCTCTTAGCAGAGCTTAGTGTTTATATCCCGGGGAGTATAGGGATTATAGCAATCCCCAGAGTGTAGTTCTCCAATGCCCCAAACAGGAGCCGAAAACTTCATGAAGGTGCAAGATGATCTGTTTAATGGGCTTTCTTTTATACAAGTTTTTCCACAAGGTTACCACCCACATGGGACTTGTGGAACATCCAATCAAACACATTACAGTGCAGTCAGACACTCCCAGCCCAGGCACACAAATCCTCCCCTCTGCCTGTGATATAATTACTGAACACAATGGGTTAACTCAATTATCACAGGCAGGAAAATATACAGTTTTATACAATATTCATAACTTCCAAACCATACATGCAATTCACACAAGCAGTATACAAACATGTGTCAAAATCATACAAATTGGTCCAGTGGTTCAAAAGTTAGGTGGAAGTCCTATTTAACTGACTGCAAGCATGGCTTTCCTTCCCAAAATAGTTCCACAGATTTAGGCTGTGCAGCCGGTCTACCTTCTCCTCTATCCTGGAGATAATTGGCTTAAGTGGGTGTGGTAACTTTATCTCCAGGTACAGAAAATATCTCCATTTACAAAAGTAAAAATACATAAAAATACATAATATCCTATTATACTGAACAGAATCCCCCGATAGGTTGGATCTGCGCGCTCAATATATCCGAACAGCGCTCAGATCCCACGCACAGAATAAAATCGCCATGGGGTTAAAGTTTAGCAAAGGCTGATGAGAGATTGAGGAGGGACAAAGCAGCCAGTTTAAACTGGTCTGGCAGTGTCCCCGGGACAACGCCCTGCTGGAGGAACAATAGACAGGAAAAAGGGGAGGGGAACAGGCACATTTTGGAATTAAAGGGGCAGAAAAAGTGTGTTACAATCCAATATGCCCAAATAATGTTTTTAAAGGGCCATACACCCCAGGGCCATAGTCATAAGGCATAATGCTGGCAATCAGGCTCCTCCAAAAGCCAGGGGCAAAGGGCAGTTTGTCACACAATGTATTTTCAGAAGTCTGGTCGCGCTCTTAAAAAGCCGCAGCACTGTGATAATGTCACTTCCTCCCAGCTAACAGAGTCACATGGGAGGAGAAGGAGGGGAGCACAGAGTGGAAAAGCTGGGAGATCTGACTTCCAATAGCCTCAGCCAGCCCCCATGTTACACTCATCTTGAATCTGTTACAGGCAAGTTGTGTGTGTGTGTGTTAAATTGCCGTTGTGCCAAGTGCAGTGGAGCAATGTGGAAATTAATATTAGTTAATTTGACACATAAGCGCTGTGTGCCACTGTGGCAAGCACTGTGTGTGTGTGGGCAGTGTGTCACTGGGGCAAGCGTTGTGGGAGCAGTGTGACGGTGCATAGTGAACCTGTGGCCATATATTTTTGCTTGTGGTGTTCTGGGAAAAGCTTTTGTGTGCCTAGCGTAAGAAAGAGGTGAAGAGCACGGATATAAGTGTACGATCTATGTGTGTGTTTGGGAGGAGGGCGTGATTGCATGCTGGGGATTGGGAGGGCAGGGCCCAGGCAAATGCTTGCCAATGGTCCAATTCATATTAAAGATCTGACTATAGCATCCCTTTAAAGTCAAACGGCATTTGTGTAGATAAATCATTTGCAATTTTTTCCAACAGTAATGAATAATTTAGAAAGCTTATTAAAATTCAAAGCCTATTTAACTCTTATCATTAACTTTTTCTAAAATGCCAGACTTTTTGCTGCAGTAAATCTAGAACAGATCGGTACCATAACCAACGTACACATTCCAGCTTGTCTCAATGTGTTTTTTTTAATCTAATTTATAATACATGTTTTACTGACCTTTTAACCTCTAAATCAGAGCACGACAAATCCCATGCGTCAGGTCGCCATGGCAACTAAGAATTTTGTCGTGGTGCCTGGATTTGTCAGCTCGTTCCCTCAATGCCCCTGAAGGAAGTGAAAGGAACTGCAATTACTTGCTCCCGGCTGCGCAAAGGAATTGTAAGCTGGCAGGGGCTCGAAGTAAAGTCAGTTCTGCTCACATTCCGCAGTGCGGGACTCCCGCCCGCTCCGGTCAGCTGCAGCAAGACCCACTGTCATCTGTTCCTGCAAAGTTCAACCCAAAAGGTAGGAAACAGGAGGCTGGCTAGAAATATGTATTTCTTGTGTGTTTGTGTATTTATGAGTGTGTTTATCTGTCATGTGTGTATATCTATCAGTGTATCAAATAAAAAATAAAATATTTTGTGAGTGTTCATTTAGGTCTGTCAGTCCAGGAGTCTGTCGGTGAATGTGTTTGTTTAGGTCACCACCCCCTCTGATCGTATGGCATTTTTACTTGCCTTTTTTTCCCCAATGCTGTGCCATTTTCACAGTGACTGGTCTGCATCCATAGCTGAGATTATCAGCCTTGATTATCTCAGCCAATCAAATGCTTTCCCATAGGAAAGCATTGGAAAGCTATTGAGTAAGAGCTGTAAAATGTGGCACCATCAGCATCTCCTCAGATATGCATAAAATCAATGCATCTCTATGGAAAATGTTGAGCGCCTCCATGCAGATCATGGAGACGCTGAATGTGGGTAGATAGTAGACACATTAGTGGCCGTTTGATTAACGGCCACTAAAGGTATTGCTAGGAAGAAATGTAAATACTGCCTTTTCTATAAAAAGGAAGTGTTTACATTGAAAAGCCTGCAGGGACAGACTAGACACACCATAACAACTACATTAAGCTGTAGTGGTTCTGGTAATTATAGGGCCTCTTAAGAACTGCATTTTTGTCATTTAAAAAAAAAAAAAAATGGCTCCTGACTTTTTTTTGCTGGCTCCTAGATTTAAAGGCAAATTTGTCAAACCCTGATTTAAAGCATTACCTTTCATAAAGGATTTAATGGTCCAAAAATAAGGTAGGGATATGCAAAGTAATAGTGGAGTTTGTGACACATTTTGATCACACTATGCTACTTCGCTACTTGTTGCTGTCAGAGAGCACTCCAAACACTGAATCAGAGCCCCAGCAGCCTAGTCCTTGGCTTGGCAATGGCTCATTCAGATCCTACACCATTCACTGGCATAAACACTTTTGCTGTTAAACAGCAGGTCACCAAGAAGAGGGCATACAGAAAGGGGGATTGTAAATCCAAAAAAGTGGTAGTTTTACCTTTGCTTATTGGCACAACTTTCTTGATGTTTAGTAAAATAAAAAAAATAAATAAAAAAAATTAAAACTATGCTTATATGTTATGAACCCACACATATGCACACTTAAAGTTTAAAATCAGGAATAGTATAGCTGCCAAAATTAAATAAAATAATAATAAAAAATAAATATAGGCAATGTTTGCCAAGTATTTAAGAATGCTTTGAAGCTTTCCTTCCATTATTTGAAAACTCAATATGACTTTCAAATGTAAAAGGATTTAATTGTGATGGCATTAAAATGCACAATTAAATATAAAAGCAGTTTGCAGGAAGTTACCTGTGCCACTTACGAAGCCCTCGTGACTAAGTTTGCGCAAGCGTTCGTATCCTTGATTTATGCTCCTCAGCTTCTCTTTGAGATCGGAGTGCTTGCTATGCAGGATGTCCTCCTTAATCTCATACTCATCTGGGCTGATTACATTTTTATGGATCTCTACAAACAAACAAAAATAAAATATAAAAGAGGGACACAAATATTTTTTTTTAAACCAATATTCTTTATTGTATATTTTGTAAATAAACCTACATGCACATTCAAATAAACAGTTAGACAGGACTGTATATCGTTAACAATATCTTACACATAAGAGCTAAAAGGTCTTATCCTATATACAGTTCCTGTGGAACTCGCTTCCCTCCTCCGTTAGATGCTCACCCAGCCTCCACTCCTTCAAAAAAAAAATCATTAAAAACCCACTTCTTCATAAAAGCGTATCAATTAAACTGTTAATAGCTCCTGATTGATTCATCTTTGGCAACTGTCACTAGTCTAATACTATCCTTACCTTTTTGTGTCATTTTACCCCACTCCCTCTAGCATGTAAGCTCATTGAGCAGGACCCTTAACCCCTCTGTTCCTGTGTGTCCAACTTGTCTGGTTACAACTACATGTCTGTTCGTCCACCCATTGTGAAGGGCTGCGGAATTTGATGGCATAATAATAATAATAATAATAATAATAATAATAATAATAATAGTCATATTCCATAGATTAACCGCAATTTTACAGCTCTACCACATATGGAGATAATATCCACCCTCATCACATCTCCAGCACATACAATTAGAATTAGGGGTAAACGTATTCACTGAAGAGGGATCCAAGTACCAAAAATTGATCACTTTATATTAGTTCAAGTATATTTACACAATGGATATCTCTATTAAAGTTCTTTATAGCCTCAAGCCACTCGTCTCTCTTATGTATTTACTTATTCCATTTCACTATGTTCTTCTGAACATCTCCTCGTATTATACAGGATATTAATTGATAAGCTTTTGACATGACTTTCGGTACTAATTGCTCACAAAATAACTTTTTTTAAAAAGGTAAAAATGTCCTTAACAGGTAGGTTATATTCTAAATTCAGCTCAGAGAAAGATTTCAATATTCCATTGGTGTAAAGGTCAGCCACTTTAAAGATATCAGATTTGGTCCACTTATCTAAAGGAAGAAGATCTAGAATGTTTTTTGCTATTATACTGATACCAATGGTGTCAATTATTTATCCTGCACTCCCAGTTTTTTTTTCCTTTAATTTAGCCCAGACCTAAAGTTGACCCAAAATAAAACTTGCCTCTGAGATCTCGCCATTTATGGCTTTAAGTCTCCCAAATCAAACTGGTGAGATCCCGCTGTTCAATGACATTTCTTCGCCTATCTGCGGGATCTGTATCAAGTAAATATGGCCAATCATATTAGCAAAGTAATAATTTAGCAAAATTGGCATACCTAAACCACCATCCTTCCCTTGTAAGGCCATTCGGTTAATAGTAATGCGAGGCCTTTTGCCATGTAAAAATAATGAGACGCTCCACTGAACTATACTTAGCCAACTTTCAGGTATTTGAATAGGGAGGTTTCTAAACATATACAGCCATTTTGGGATGATGTACGCTTTGATTGCAGTTATCCTTCCACCCTAGGATAGATTTTTATTCTTCCAACCTTTTAGAGTATAGATCATCTCCTTTAACAGGGCCATAAAATTTAATTCTAGGATGTCCTTTGCCTCTGGAGAGATCTTAATCTCCAGGTATGTAAACTCTTTAGTCCAAAGACAGTCAAAGTATTGGCGCAACAGTATATTTTTTTTTTGAGTCTTCTAAATTGAGGGCCATAAATATTGTTTTAAACCGGAAATCTAATAAGATATTTCAGAGTAATCGGTGATTACGTCCATCAGGGCGGGCAGAGACTCCTCAGGATTCTTAAGAGTAAAACCAGTGTCAGCAGCATACATGCTGACCTTATATTCTCTTGGTGGAACTAAATATCCATGAATATTTCCACCTGCTCTTATGTAAATTGCCAAAGGAGAAAGTAGGCATCCCTGCCTAGTGCTGTTCCCCAGATTGAACCAGACAGCACATATGTTTTGCCCAATGGTTCTAGAAATAGGGGCACTATACAAAGCTTTTATTGCCCTGCAGAAATGTTCTCCAAAGCCAAACATTTCCAAAACACATCATAAATCCCCAATTTACCCAGTCAAAAGCTTTTTCTGCGTCTAGCGCAATGGTGACAAATTCTTTATGTTCTTTTTTTTTTAGCTATATTGAGAATATCAATTAATCTTCGAATGTTGTTTATAGAGCTTCAACCGGGGACAAATCCTATTTATATAAGCCAAGAATTCTGCAGGGCATTTAGACTGATTAATAAAATCATTAAACGCATGTGTCAAATCAGGGGCTATTCTTTCTTTAAGGATTTTATAAAAGTAGGATCCAAAGCCATCCGGATCAGGGGCTTTCTTATTTTTTACTGCACCGATAGCCCTATTGACCTCACTTAGATGGATGGTTTTATCTAGTATTACTTTCTGTTCTGGGCTAATTTTAGGGATATGTATACCTTCCACAAATGGATCAAAACTACTGGGATTAATCAGCTCTGAACAGTTATACAGCGATTTATAATTGTTGAAACTTTGACCAATCTCTTTTGGTGCTCTATAGATATTGTCGTTATGAATTATTTTATCTATCCTATTCTCGGCAAATTGTTTTTTTACATTTGTTGGTAAACATCCTACCTACTCTTATTTTTATATACCAATGTTTCACTTTTTCTAGATTATTAGAAATCCTGGTCATATTAAGTTCATTTATCTTATCCCGGGCATGCCTAATAGTTTCAGCACCTTGTTTCGTGGGTCTATTCTTGTTAATTTGTTTTAGTTTGTATAAAGCAAGGTGCATATCAGCCAAGGTTCTTCCTCTCACTTTATTTGCATGTATACCCAATTAAATCAACTGCCCCCTTATTACAGCTTTATATGCAATCCAGCTAATGCCCGGATTTGCTTGTTTATTTTCCAGAAAATAGAAATTTGTCATCTGCTTGATATAGTCTCTATTATTATCGCTGCTCAGGAAGACCTCGATCATTCTCCACTGTCTTGGATCCTTTTTCTGGGTATCCTCTATTTCCCATATGACTGCGTTATGGTCTGACCAGTGAATGGTCTTCATAAGAATTTTCTTAATACAATTAACTAGTTTAGGATCACCAACTAGCATATCAATTCTTGCATAGAAACAATGTCTAAGAAAAATAAATTCATAGTTTTGTGGGTGGAACAGTCTCCAAACGTCATATAAGGCTGCCTTTGTCAAGAGAGTGGAGAGAGCCAAAGCTCTCCCGAACAGCGCACCATCCATCCACCATCCCATTCAGTATCCATTACACAATTATAGTCTCCCGCAATTATCAATCTGCCCTTGGCTATCTGATAAATGTTCTCAATAATATCCCTCACAAAAGGTCACTTGCCCGATGTTAGGTGCATATATATATGGACTAGGATATATAGCTCATTATCAAATTTGCATATTCAAATAATATATCTAGTCTGTGGATCACACTTCTGGCATATATTTTCATAAGAAATTCCTCTCGCTATCCATATGACAACCCTTTTTTCCCCCTTCACTCGAAGCCTTAATCAAGTCTGCCTTTTGCTTGCATAAATATAAATCTCTATCCGACGTCACCCAATGGGTCTCTTGTAGAAAACAAACCTGTATTTTCTCTTCTTTAATCAGAGCTGTTCTTTTATAAGGGCTATTGAGACCTTGAGTGTTAATAGTAAGCATTCTAACCATCTTCCAATAAGTACAAATCTGACTTAATTCCGGTGACCAGCTTAGACAATACATAACATACAAAATAAAACCGAACAGGGTCAACAAGGAACCTGTGCCCATTTCCCCACTATCCATGTTCCTATAAAAACAAACCCTGCATGCACAAGAAAGACAAAAAAAAAAACAAAAAACAAAAAAAAAAACCACACACCAGACTACAACCCATAGCTACTCTATACTAGGAGGTGCTATTAAGGTTCAGCCTGATAGAAGTGGCAACCTATATTCCTTGTTATATTACAAAGAGATAGAAGAAAAAAGGAAGGAAAGGGAACTTTTGTTCTGAACAAACAAACGTGGCTAATTAAAAAAAAATAATGAACATGACCGCAGGTGTATCCAATTACCACAATAAATATACTCTAAAATCGATCCAGTTGATTAATAATTTCAGCATGCTTCCCTTTAGCCTTTTTATATGTAATCCCCTTTGTGCGCTCAAAACAATTCTCCCCGCATGGGGGTTCAATTAATGTTTAAGACATATTCACAGCTTTGTTACACTTTAATTTTTTAACCAACTTTCTCTTAAATTTCTTTAAAGTAACAAAAAAACACACACAAATAAAACAGACACCTACACAAAAAATAAAAAATAAATGGATGAATTGTATACATAGAATAATAAACGGAGCCAGGATCAAATAATGAGGCTGGTATTTAGCTTTCTGACACAGTGGAGAATAAAGAAATAGTACGTACAGACAGCACAGCATTTAACAACTCCACATTAAAAGCACAAAAAAGGAGACCAACACAGAAAAACAGAAATGTCATACCTTCAGTCCTGCTTACTGTATCCAACAGTATGTTATATTCATTTGTCTTTTCCTTATGATGGACAAACTCCCTCCACAAGTTTTCCAACTCTTCTTCTGAAAATTTTCCAGATGTCTTTGCCTGTAGAAATGACAGAAAATATATATTTAGAAACAAAAGTGATTCAAATAGAATACATTACAGAACATGCGGGCAAAAATTGCAGGTCAAGAAAAGAGAAATCAAAAGTGGCTGGACTTAACAGGATGTAAAAGAACATACAGTGTAATAAAAAAAAAAAAAAATAAAAAAAAAAAAACTTATTACAAATTAGAAGTATATTTATTATATTGGGAACATACGATGCTTGAAATAAAAGTCTATGGAACTAAAGAGCTATAAGGACTCTCTTTTGCCAGTACAGGAGAACACGTAACACATTTCTCCATCCCCCCCCCCCCAAAACAATGGAAAAGCGAAGAAATCATCATCACAGGCTTTGAGACTCCAATTAGGTAACGGGCTTCCATGTGCTGCAGATCCAGTCGCTACACACTGGCATCAGCTGATCGATCTCAGCCAATGATAGGTACACTATGCATGAAAATGCACAGAATTGACATTAGCCAGCTCGGAACTCGTTGCCCAAATTATGCTGCCAGAGGCGGAACTGCACTTCCAGCAGCAAAGTTTTAGGCTCCTTATGTAGGGTGTTTTATACTCAAGTGCTGCACATACAGACTCCAGGCACCATTATCACTTCAAATAACTGAAGAAGTGGTCATGGTGCTTGGGGTAACCACTGAATAATTGTTTAATGTCTCTAGGACACCTCTGGCATTAAATTATGTTTTTTGTTGTCCTTTTAGCATTTGGAAAAAGTATACATATTTTTGACAGTTGCAGATTTATTTTCTTAGAATATATTACTAGAGGTTTGTCTCACCCTTCCACTGATTTAGTAGACGATTTGTAGAGAATCCAGTCACAAAAATCAATCAAAACTCTGGCTTCATAACTAAAGCAGCTAATTCGGCCAACAGCTGTATCCAAAAATGAAGACCCCCCCCCCCCCCTCATCACTCTAATGTAACAGTGCATTACTGTGCTAACATCTTAGGCCACATGAGAAAATATCCTGAAACTTTCTTCTGGATACTGCGTAGGACAGCCATAAGTTCTTTTTGTTGCTTCATACTGAAGAAAATTAAATATTTTTCTGTGCGTAGGGCCACATTTATTTTTAACACAGGAGGATACTTTCTTTTTAAATATAGAGTTAGAACTTCACGTTTAAAGCGGCACTGTCATGCCGAATCCTGTTTTTTTTTTTTTTTAACCCCCCTCCGGCATCCACTATCTCTGACACCCTAGTCACCCCCAAATTACCTATTTTTTATTCCTTATTTTCTGCCCCGATCTTTATTCAGGGTGCCGCCATATTTGTGTGGGTAGATGAAGTCCCTGTGGGACACGTCATCAGCCTACACTAGACAGACTGAGATTCCCGCACATGCCCAGTGAAACACCTGGGCATGCGAACGGGAATTTCATCTATTCATCAGACAGACGAATGAGTGAATAGAATTATCAGCCGAACAAACAAACACTGAGTATCAGTGTTCGTTTGTTCAGTTTATTACAAGGAGGGAGCTACTGGCACGCAGCTCCCTCCTTGCAATATGTAAAGATAGAAGCGGCAGGGAGCAGTGCTCCCCACCACTTCATAAGCCCCCCCAGGCTTATATGACCCCCAAAATAGCATAAGGGGGATTAAAATGCCCTAACGCGCGTAGGGGCATGTCCACTAAACAGTGTAAAAAGACAAAAAGAAAAACTATTGGCCCCCACCCCTAAATGACGGGTGGGGGCCCTAAAGTAAAATAAGGGAGGAGACCTATTGTAATTTTTACTTAGTATTAGTAAATGTGGCTAAAAGACGAATTTAGGTCTTTCAGCCTTTTAGTAGATAACTCACTAATTCCCACGGTATCAGGGAGTTATCTACTAAGCGGCTGCAAGATGCAGCCACAGCACTAATAGGATCAGAGTTTCATTCATTAGAATGAAATTCCGATACGAACAAAGTGCCGAATTGCGTTCTAACACAAACGAACATACTGTTCTCATTCAGTTAGAACGCAAATCGGCAGTTTTGTGTAAAATGACAGGAAGCATCGCAAGATCACAGAGGAAAGCTAAGGATCATGGGAAAATTGCTCTGACCAGTGGAAATGAAGCACACTTTGCTCCTCCGCTGGTCAGAGCTGGTCAAGCGGAGGAATCCTCCATAAGGCAAAGAGTCCCTACTTTGTCTTATGATTTTAAAGAAAACTAAAGAAGAACAGATCCTGAGAGAGGGGGAGAAGAGGAAGAGATTGAGGAAAAGTAAGTTCGGCATGACAGTGCCACTTTAAAGGGACACTATAGTCACCTGAACAACTTTAGCTTAATGAAGCAATTTTGGTGTATAGAACATGCCCCTGCAGCCTCACTGCTCAATCCTCTGCCATTTAGGAGTTAAATCCCTTTGTTTATGAACCCTAGTCACACCTCCCTGCATGTGACTTGCACAGCCTTCCATAAACACTTCCTGTAAAGAGAGCCCTATTTAGGCTTTCTTTATTGCAAGTTCTGTTTAATTAAGATTTTCTTATCCCCTGCTATGTTAATAGCTTGCTAGACCCTGCAAGAGCCTCCTGTATGTGATTAAAGTTCAATTTAGAGATTGAGATACAATTATTTAAGGTAAATTACATCTGTTTGAAAGTGAAACCAGTTTTTTTTTTCATGCAGGCTCTGTCAATCATAGCCAGGGGAGGTGTGGCTAGGGCTGCATAAACAGAAACAAAGTGATTTAACTCCTAAATGACAGTGAATTGAGCAGTGAAATTGCAGGGGAATGATCTATACACTAAAACTGCTTTATTTAGCTAAAGTAATTTAGGTGACTATAGTGTTCCTTTAAACTCGCCTCTCTAAATCATACCCGGACTGTCTCCATGTGGCTGCTCTGATCAGATACCCTTAATATGGATGATTTCTTGGCCAATTCAATGTTTCTTATAAAGACGACGACTTGGGGACCTACAGCACATGCATTGCAGTCATCATTATTGACCAATAGCATATTTCCCAGTGAAGAACTGAAACCAATTATTTATTCACAGCTGCAAAAGCGCAACCAATACGCTTTTTAAAACAATTATATACAATAAATAAACCTAATAATATATTGAACAACTAGCATAGTAAATCAAGACTCTAAAAGGGCAAGAAGACATCTGGCAAAACCTGAGTGACAAGAGGAAATAGAATCATAAATACACCTGCATTATTTCTTATTCTCCAATTCAAACAACAGTTGGATACCATACCATAACAAACAGAGAGAACCAATATAAGGTCTCACCTTGTTCCATAGTTTTTCTAATCGCGGGTCATTTAAGATATCATTCCCTGTTGCAGTTCCATCTTTAATATAATTACTATCTTCTGTTTCCGTTTTCTTTTTCCCATCAAGCCCATACTTGGCCAGGATCACTGAAATAAATGAAATATGCTTTGAGTCATAAATAGAAAAGGCGATTGTGGGAACATTTTTTATTGAAAGAACAGGAGTTCCCCGCCCCCCCCGCCCCCTTATTTCCACGGCGACTGCATTTTAGAGGTGAAAAAAAAACCTGAAACGTTACATACCGTAAATGTTTTCCTTTGTGTCAGTGACAGTGCATGAGGGGTGTTCAGGTTTAATTTGGACAAAAAGGCCTTCTCTAAAATTAAAGACATTAGAAATCCCTCCTCCTTTAGGCTTATAAAAAGGCATTAGCACAGAACCCGATCGGTTCAAAATTTATTCAAGAAGGGAGGGATTATATGTACTGCCGCTAAAACGGAGAAAAAAAAAAAAACAAAACAAAAAAAACTAACAAAACAAACTGTAGTTAAAATGTCTGGTTTTCCCTGCGTAGTGGCAGTACGTAATGGAGAAAGCAAGAAACTTACTGAAGAGTGGAAATTAAGACACAGCTGCTTGTAACACTTTATGCTTAATAAAACTTCTGCTAAGACCGAGATGTCTAGCCTGTAGCGATTGATAAATGTATAGAAAGAGGACAAGGTGGCAGCCTTAGCAGAAATCCTCTGGAGTTGACATAATTCTTTTGGTGTTTGAAGTTGAAATAGCTCTAGTAGAATGAGTCTTAAAGGACCTCTCTAGGCACCCAGGTCCCTCTAGGATTAACCCCCCTTTTTTTTATTTATATATAAAAGGCTAGAGCAATCGAGAAATGGAGTCAGGAAACACAAAGTTCATCAAAAAAATTAAAAGCGGACAGTTCAAAGATCTACTTACCACTTACTTTCCATACAGGTTCCACACAAATTCGTCGCTCAATTGATAGACATTGGGATATGTTACGTGCGGACAAACAATTATCTTCCATATTTCGGTTTAAACCTACCATCAGTTATAAGAGAAACAAAAACCTAAGGGATATCCTTGTCCGCAGTGACCCTATACAGAACTACAAGAAAATCATCATACAAAGGAAACATGGATGCTTCAAATGTAGTGGTTGTGTCACCTGCAGCCACATGATCTCGGGCAATTCATTTGCTCACCCGCACAGTGGAAAAAGAATCACCATTTCACATTATATCACATGTACCACTGACCATGTGATTTATCTTATCACATGCCCGTGCGGATTAGCATATGTTGGGAAGACGGACCTTACCCTAAGAGACCGTATCCGAGGACACAGGTCGGGCATCATGACAGCCTTTAGGGACCAAAAGACAGATAAACCAGTGGCTAAACATTTTTTAGCTGCCTCACACAGACTTCCAACACTCAAATTCATGGCTATAGACCATGTCCCCCCTTTATCCCGTGGGGGTGACAGGTCTAAAATACTACTTCAAAGAGAGGCTTATTGGATTTTTAAATTGGATACTGTCACTCCTAAAGGCTTAAATGAGTATAATACCTTTTCTATGTTCTTATGATATTTTTATTTTATTTTTTTTGGTTTTTCATGTACCCCTGATCTCTATTGGATATATGATCTATATATAGATAGTTCTGATTGAGTATTTTGTCTATTTTCAGTCAATATAGATATAGACATTTTGTATTTTTCAGTACCATTCTACTGTTATTTTTTTATGGTTGTTTCTGTATAGCTTTTTCATAAGTATCTTAGCTCAGTATTTATGCTATACAACACATCCATAACTATTTAGCTAATTATTCTCAGTATCTCATATCTATATCCTTATCCATCATATGTTGCTAGATGTATATATATATGGTAGACATGTTTGCATGTATATGGGATCTCTTCTCTTTCTCTCTTCTTAACATATCACATACATTATTCATACATTCTATTTACATACATTACCTCTTTGTATACATATATATACATACATACATACATATATATCTCTTTTTGCCCCTGCAATATTTTTCATTTATACATTTATCTGTTATCTTTTGCCTTTGAGGAATACATATGCTTTCACCAGTATATAGTATATCTTTGTATTATATTCATCTTTGACATCTTTGTATGGGGTCCATAGTGTTATGTAAGTTTTCTATTCAGCTTTTCTTCCCTCCATAGTTGGTACATATTCACATTTTTATACAGATCACCTTTAAGTGATCAATTTCAATCACTCTAGTTTTCACTCTGCGATCTGTACTACACATTTGGAGTATTGTTTACTTTCGTTGCTTAGCAACGTCGTAATCACGTGCGTCATCACGCCGGTCATGTGGTGCATACTGTCTCACTTCCGGGTTCGGCACGAACAGGGAATCTTTCACACACATCTTGTTGGTAAGTGTCTATTGATATTTATCTATATATTGATCTTGAAAAAGACCCTTTAGGGGTCAAAACGTCGATTTATCTGTAGATTTTTTTGCACATGTATTTTTGCATGTAAAATAAAACTAAGCACATTTTAAGACCTGTGAGTGCACCTTCTGTGTGTATATATATATATATATATATATATATATATATATATATATATACACACACACACACACACACACACATATACATACATACATACATACATACATACATACATACACACACACACTGAGACCGGCTGAAGGCGTGCGCAGCTCCTGCCGTGCATGCGCATTCAGCCCAAGAGGAGGATCGGAGGCGGAGAGCTCCCTGCCCGGCGCTGGAGAAATAGGCAAGTTTAACCCCTTCCTCTCCCCAGAGCCCGGCGGGAGGGGGTCCCTGAGGGTGGGGGCACCCTCAGGGCACTATAGTGCCAGGAAAACGAGTATGTTTTCCTGGCACTATAGTGGTCCTTTAATTTTGCAGGGAAAGTAACATCTTGGGAGAAATAACTCATCTAAATGACCCAGCAATCCATCTCGCAATGGAATACCCGGATGCTAAAAGATCTTTAGAGCGCCTTGGTAGTTAATGAAATTATGGTCTGATTCAATCTATCTAGCCAAGACCTCTTTAGGTCTTGGCTAGATAGATTGTTTGGATGTAAAGCTAGCATTGTCAATGAAAATTAGACGACTTGTTTGAAAATAGATTCTCACTGAATGTTGGCAACACGATTGCTTTTGCCGAGATGTGAACTTTCAAAGTGAAAGGAGCAAGACCTTCTTGCAGAAATGCTAGAATAACAGGAACAAGAAAATGAAATAAGTCAAGGTTTTTCTGATGACACCATGTCAGAAATGTATTAAAGACACGCAAGTATATTTTAAAGGAGTTTTTGTCTGGTAGCTTGCATGAGAATGTGGATATAAAATTCTTTAACACCTTTTTCCAAAATAATCAACCTTGCAGCATCCATGCCCTTAATTTAAAGGCGTTCAGGATCTCTACTGGTACATCCTTGTTATCTAGTAACAGTGGAGTCACTGGCAATTCCCAGGGCTCGATTAGGCCAGAAGGGCATGATTGCAATGACAAAAGGATCAGCCTTAATTTATTTTCTGCAGGGCCTTTAGAATCATTGCTACCAGAAGAAAGATGTAGGTCAACTGAAATGTCCACTTCACCAAGAAACCATCTAGGATATCCAGATTGTCCGGTTTGTAAAGGGAGGCAAATTTTGGAACCTTTCGATTGATTAAGCCATGACGTCTATCTAGTGGTCCAAATTTTTCAACCAATGTGTGCAAAACATGTGGCCTAAGAGACCAGTTTTTTTCCCAGTAATGTTTGCAGAGATTGTCTGCCAGTTGATTTTCACTTGGGCTTTCTGCCCAAGTGATGATAATTGCATACAACTCTGCCAAAGATTGTCTTGTTCCGCCTTGCTTGTTCAAGTAAATCACAGTTTTGTTATAGCTGGATTAAATCTGCAAGGCATGATTCTTTATATACGCTTTGAAATATAGAAGTGCTTTTCAGATGGCTTTCATTTCTATGAAGTTGTATGACTGGAGAGTATCTTTTGTGGACCAATTTCCTTGAACCATTAAGGATGTGAGCACCCATTCTTTTTCAGAGGCAACTGTAATGATTCTTACCCAGACCAGTTGTCTGTTTGTGACTAAGTGGCTGATAAAAAGACTGGACATACCCCATTTGCAATACCTTGGGTTGTCCACTATTGCAAATGGTATGCATCAATTCTCATTCCTGGGCTACCCTAGAGGCTCAAAGGCAACGTAACCAAACTGTTGAATTTCAATGTGAAAAACCAGAAAAATGTAACATGCTATATTTGACCCTGTAACTTCCCAAAACACCATAGAACCTGTACATAGGGGGTACTGTTTTACACATGAGACATGTTGAATACAAATATGTGTATTTTATTGCAGTAAAAGCAAACAGTATGACATTCACAGTTAAAATGTCATGCAGAACTAAGAAAAAAAAAGTATACTAATTTTTCCAAATATTTTAGCCATAATAAAATGTTTCATAGCTAAAGATTTGATTTTAAATGAAAGCCCTATTTCGCCTGAATAAAATGATATATAATAATAAGTATGGGTGCACTTAATATGAAAGAGGTGAATTACAGATGAACAGATATATTGTCAAATTCCAATTTTTGTTTACATTTTATTTTGATCAAAACGTGTACATTTGGCTCTGTCCTTAAGGGGTTTAAGATTTAATTTGTCCCCCAACTTCCAGACTCCCTGCTATCCCCCCACGTGCAATTATCTGTCTGTCTGGAGGCTTCAGACACCGGCCGCGTTCCCTGCAGTGATTTGTTTGAGGAATCCCTTGTTTGAGGAGTTCTTTTTCAAATTGCTGAGCTGCTGGAAATGCCGCTTAAATTTTTTTTAGCTGAAATGGCTTTCTCAGTCTTTCATCGACATGTCACAAGGAGAAAGGAAACACTCGCCCTTACTGGTGTGCAATTTGGACGCTCCGCCCACTCAGCATTTATGTGATTTTTTATTTTTAAATAATTTTTTTTGAGGTCTGAGCCATAGGTTTGTGGAGATAGGCCTAGCGTTGCCATAAAATCTTCTGCTTGCAACATATGGGTTATTGACAGGATGGTTTCCATTCTGAAGCTTTGGTGTTGAATATAGTTGTGGAGATTCTTTAAATATAGAATGGGTCTGAAAGACTTGTCTGGTTTATCTACAAGAAAGATTCTTGAATACAGACCGTGGTATTTTTGATCGTTTTGGACTTGTTCTATGAACCTTTTCTGGAATTCTAGGGTTTCTGAAAGCTTACACCAGGGCTTGGAGGTGAAAGTTCTACCTATCTTATTGCATCTCATTTGGCACAAGTTATACAACATATGTTCTTATCAGCTATATCACAAGTCTAATGGAAAATAGAGAGATGCGGCAAGCAAAAGCTGACTGAAACTCTGCCTTTTACCAAACTTTGCCAAAAAATTATTCTCAATTAAATCCCACCTCAACTTATGTACATTGTTCACAGACATATCTTTATGAACATATGCATGGCTTTTTTTCCCCCCCAACCTGCTGGAATTGATGATGGTTCCGACCTCCTGAATCCCCAATAAATATATTTTCCAACTATTTAAGTATATTTCCTCTGAATCTTATCTTCAGTGAATCACATGTGCCCCCCTGAAACACGCAATACTGCTTATAAAATTCTAAATCTCTGCACTTTAATTTTCAACTGAAAAAGTCCTGAGGAATACACCAACTGTCATCTGAAAGATATGGCTCTTTACACAGGTAGGAGTTAATCATTGAATGTTCTGTGGCAGATATTTAATCATCAAACATCAATCGGTTAATATGTGCAATCATATGTAGCCACTTGTGTCTAGCCAAAAAAACCAAACCCTCTAGGTGGGAGTCATCAACAGTCTGAATGATGAACGCATAAACTCAGTACTGCAATGCAGCTTTGTTTCATAACTACATCACTCTGCTTTTACTAATCTTGCAAAGAGATAGCAATGCTTAAAAATAAAATTTTATTTTTTATTATAGAAAAAAAAAATTATGTGTGCATAAGATGATGCACAAAAAGGCTATAAGTAAATAACTCTATTTAATTACATATAATGGTTTAACTGTGCTCTGTGAGCAGATCCATCATTAAGTCCAGTATACTTGTAAGCACCACCTATCAAACTAAATATCACATACAACCTATCCTCAATGTTAATTGCTCGGCCCTGGAACGCACATGCTGTACACACAACAGGGGCAGGTCATGGACTGCATCTATGGACGACATGGGAGCCGGTCATGGCAGGTTCACTGTAACGTACCCTCTGTAGGCAAGGAATATATCAATCAGGTGGCACCTTAATCTTCAAAGGGAAGTTGTTGCTTCCTCTTATTTATTAATAAGACTTACCTTGGCTGTAACAGCCACTCCAACCAATGCTACGTTTAGATGTAGCCGTTTGGAGACACTTTCTCAAGCAGAGCAAAATTCCACTGTGACGCTGACATTTAAACGTGATAACATCACTCCATTCCTATACTCCTCTAGTCAGCACTGTAAGCGCTGGCTATGGAGTAAATGTAGCAACCATAGCACAACTGTGTTTTTTGTGCAGAAATGCAAGAAATCTGCCTGTAAATTGGATTTCCCTGCTCTCCCCCTGTCAGTCGGTTCTTTGGCATAGAGGTCTATGCTGCAGAACTGATTGACAGGTATGGGAATTCAAAGAACTTTCAACGCAATCTAAAGATACCGTAAGGCAAAGTTGTGATTACTTTGTCTTATGGACAATCCCAATGTTGACAAAAGCAGAGCTCTGCTATCAACTTTTGTCCATTCCCAGCAGCCATCACATGCCAACGGCAGTGGAATTCTGGCAACGATCTATGGAGGCACCTGCGATCTTGTGGGATCCTCCACAGACCTTAGTGTTGAACCTGCAAGATGAAGATGGAGGTGGCCACAAGGAGCGAATTGATCTAAGTGAAGCTTGCCTTTCCCTGCAACCCACTACCACTGGATCCACATTGGATCTGTAATTTTCAGGGGTCTTCACGAAATGTGCAAAGACTCCTGAATGTGACAGATCAGCTATAAAAATATATTAAAATAAACTCTAGCCAATCACCCTTTGGACAATAGATCAAAAAAATTAAATAAATAAAAAAATTATATATAAACACTAAACCGTATTTATTTTTGCAAAGTGGAATGCTTTGAGTTTATCTGCTAAAATGTGAAAAATTCCCGGCTCCAATGCAGCCATCATAACCGTGCTAACCAAGCAGATATTTAAATAGCATTTTCAGATACATTTGCTCTAAACTGGTTAGTTGGAAAATACTAAAATTATTGGAAACATTGCTTTAAACAAATTTATATTAAGTAGATTATGTTTTTATTATGTTTTATAGAGCAGCTTCAATCTGGGCTCAACAAATCCCTGGCGCCAGGTCACCATGGTGACTAGGAATTTTGTCCTGGCGTCTGAGTGTTTGTTTCCCCGCTTAGCACTGGCCACATAATGCTCCATTTTCTTTTAAACATATTTTCAAGAATTAGCAATTGTTATCAAGAAGGTTTGTCTGTTACCTGAATGCAGTCAATACTCACCATTCAAAGATCGTCTGAGCTTGGCTTCCTTCTCTCCATCGTCATCTAGTCCTTCTGCCTTCAGCTTTTTCCAGTTCAGCTCATCCTTCTCTTGTATTTTTAGATCACTGTGAAGTTCTGCTATTTTCACAGCAGAAAGCTGGAGCTGGATTAAGAAAAACGTTGACTGGTCAGTGAGTGATTAGATTTTTACATTAACCACACGCATGGTGAAATAGCTCATTTCGTGGGTCTAAGATAGTTGACTCCTAGTTGGACAACCCTCCTGCAAGATATATTGAGTTTATAGTTGACAAACCCATGGATTTGTTCATTTTCATTGGCTTAATTAGTTGCTTTTAGAAGACAGGCAGGAATGTTTTATAGAATAATGGATTAATAAATAAAATAAAAAAATTTGCTTTACGGTCCCTTTTAGCAAAACATTTAGCCGGGTTTGTATTAAATTAAACCCAATAGAAGATTTACCTTTTATTGTTTCATATTACACAACAGGAAAATAGCTTTCAGTTTCCAATGGCTTTCAACAAACAGAAAGCATTGGAGAACCTATACAAGCAGGCAATTTGATATTCTAGTCTAAATTTAATTCAGAATTTTGTGGTTCTGTGCGTGTTAAAGGGTTACTCAAATCACCATTACTACCCAAGTGATTTGAAGTGGTCATGGTGCAAGGAGTCTATGTGCACACACAGAATTTAACCCCTTTTGCTGCAGGAGGTGTAACTCCACTTCAGACAGTATCATCCCTTCTGGGCATGTCAGCATGCTGGCGACAGGCGTCCAATGACAATAATAAAAATTAGAACTAGACAAACTATTTTAACCGAAGAATACATTTTTAAAATATTTAAAAAGGGAACAACTACAGCTTAATGTAATTGTTCTGGGGAGTATAATCATTGCCTTTAGGCATTTTCATGCAAACACTGTCTTTTCAGAGAAAAGGCAGTGTTTACATTGCCCCCAGGGACTAGTGGATGTGCTACCTGGCTCAGTGCTGCACAGTAAGCAGTCCTGCCGTTCAGCATCCCCATGGAGGGAAGAACACTCTGGGACAGGGAAGGGAGGGGGAGGAAAGAACACTATGGGGCAGAAGAGGAGGGAGAGGAAATGACACTATAGGACAGGGGGCAGGAAAGAACAATATGGGACAAGAGAGGGGAGAAAACGAGAGGAACATTAAAAGGTAGGGCACTATGGTACAGGGAAAGGAACACTGGGGTGGGGGGCACATTAAGGGTAATGGGGAGGGGAAGCGTTCCTACCACACATAAATACATTCTTGAGAAAAAAAAAAAAAAAACACACACACACACACACACACACCACACAATCTCTAGTGGGGGTATTCCTTAAAAACAGTGTTGGCGGCTCATTTCACTGTTTATATTAATGAATTTCTTAGCGCTTATCCGATCGGATTTTCTGTATCATCTTCTATAATGCCATTTGAGTACACAAGCCCTCACAGGCCCATGTCCAATGAATCATGGGAGTCATACTAATTCACATTGTATTTCAATGTATGCCTTTACTAGGATAGAAATCATTGATCAAGTGGAGTTAAGGAAAAAAAATAAAAATACAAATAGTGCAACCCTAGTGTTACCTTTTAGTAACTGGATTGTGCACACATCCAGAATGACAATTCCTTCTTTCAAATTACGCATGTATTGAACTCTGTTTTGTGGTTAAATAAGTAACTTAACACACACACCATAGAATTCCAATGAACAGCTTAATCTTTACCCCCATGCACAAATATTGAATAAACTTCAAAGGAACTCTGAGCATAGACTGCCTCCCAAAGCACCTTTACTATTTGCGGACTGGATATATCGTGATGGTTAAATTCACTGTATAAATATAAATTCATTACCAGATTACACATGCCATCAACAGATGTTAAATTTCAATTTGTATACAGTCAGGTCCATAAATATTGGGACAGACACAATTCTAATCTTTTTGGGTCTATACACCAACACAATGGGTTTGAAATGAAATGAACAAGATAGAAACATAGAAACATAGAATGTGACGGCAGATAAGAACCATTCGGCCCATCTAGTCTGCCCAATTTTCTAAATACTTTCATTAGTCCCTAGTCTTATCTTATAGTTAGGATAGCCTTATGCCTATCCCACGCATGCTTAAACTCCTTAACTGTGTTAACCTCTACCACTTCAGCTGGAAGGCTATTCCATGCATCCACTACCCTCTCAGTAAAGTAATACTTCCTGATATTATTTTTAAACCTTTTGTCCCTCTAATTTAAGACTATGTCCTCTTGTTGTGGTAGTTTTTCTTCTTTTAAATATAGTCTCCTCCTTTACTGTGTTGATTCCCTTTATGTATTTAAATGTTTCTATCATATCCCCCCTGTCTCGTCTTTCCTCCAAGCTATACATGTTAAGATCCTTTAACCTTTCCTGGTAAGTTTTATCCTGCAATCCATGAACCAGTTTAGTAGCCCTTCTCTGAACTCTCTCTAAAGTATCAATATCCTTCTGAAGATACGGTCTCCAGTACTGCATACAATACTCCAAGTGAGGTCTCACCAGTGTTCTGTACAATGGCATGAGCACTTCCCTCTTTCTACTGCTAATACCTCTCCCTATACAACCAAGCATTCTGCTAGCATTTCCTGCTGCTCTATTACATTGTCTGCCTACCTTTAAGTCATCAGAAATAATCACCCCTAAATCCCTTTCCTCATATGTTGAGGTTAGAACTCTATCAAATATTCTGTACTCTGCCCTTGGGTTTTTACGTCCAAGATGCATTATCTTGCACTTATCCACATTAAATGTCAGTTGCCACAATTTTGACCATTTTTCTAGTTTACCTACATCATTTGCCATTTGGCTTATCCATCCTGGAACATCAACCCTGTTACATATCTTAGTATCATCAGCAAAAAGACATACCTTACCATCAAGACCTTCTGCAATATCACTAATAAAAATATTAAAAGAGAATGGGTCCAAGTACAGATCCCTGAGGTACCCCACTGGTGACAAGTCCAAGCTTCGAATATATTCCATTAACTACAACCCTCTGTTGCCTGTTACTCAGCCACTGCCTTACCCATTCAACAATATTTGAATCCAAACTTAAAGATTGCAGTTTATTGATAAGCCTTCTATGTGCAACAGTGTCATGTGCTTTAACTGCAGACTTTCAGCTTTAAATTTGATGGTATTTACATCCAAATCAGGTGAAAGGTGTAGGAATTACAACAGTTTGTATATGTGCCTCCCACTTTTTAAGGGACCAAAAGTAATGGGACAATTGGCTGCTCAGCTGTTCCATGGCCAGATGTGTGTTATTCCTTCATTATCCCATTTACAAGGAGCAGATAAAAAGGTCCAGAGTTCATTTCAAGTGTGCTATTTGCAATTGGAATCTGCTGTCAACTCTTAATATGAGATCCAAAGAGCTGTCCCTATCAGTGAAACAAGCCATCATTAGGCTGAAAAAACAAAACAAACCCATCAGAGAGATAGCAAAGTCTGCAGTTAAAGCACATCTTGTTCATTTCATTTCAAATCCATTGTGGTGGTGTATAGAGCCAAAAAGGAAGGAATTGTGTCGATGTCCCAATATTTATGGACCTGACTGTATGTGTGAAATTTACTTGGGTCCAAAGCCACCTGGCTGAAACAGTGCAAACTTATCTCAAAGCAGTGATTTACCTTCATATCCAAGTACAGGGTTGTATTTTACAAATTTACTACCAAAAAGACAAAAATATTGAAAAATTATTTCAAGCATAGCACCAATAATGTCACCCGGGATAACTATTTCAGGGTTTTTTTTTTGTAAACTGGGAAGTTACCTATCCAGTTTTAAAGTCAAGAGCTGCATTCAGGGTATCTTTCCTTTAAAAGGACCATGCAAAGGGCATGCTGGTCAAACACTCATTCTAACGGTTTTGCTTGTGTCAAATAATTACTAAAAAGTCCTTTACAAATAAGACTTATATCAGGGCTGTCCTATGTGAGTCATGACCATTTGCTACCTTCATATTCACTGATAGAATAGCATGTGGGTTTGTGTGTTCAATACCAATTGTCAGTGAGCGTTGAATATTATCTGATAAATGCAAATTACTTTAAAGAAACATGGATCATTTCCATAGAGACTGTCCTGCTATTTCACTATATGAGCAATAAGTGTGTGCAGTTTGCTATAGTAAATAGTTATTTGAGAAATCATGTGGACATGAGTCATGTTTTTTATTGTAACTGTTAGATGGATCGGAATTGCAACATATTATGAGTGGGAAAAAAAAAATATATTATAGAAAACACACAAGAATTCTCTTCCACCAAAATTACAGAAAGGTCACCCCGGTTCATGTTCTAGATTTTGGTTGATTACAATCTGACACAATTTTGTGAGGTAGGTTAAATGATTATAATACACACACACACAAACATACAAATTAGAAGCCTGTAAATATTTTGAATAGGAAAAACACCTGTCCATAAGTCTGTGTAAGCATTCCTCGAAACATGAAAACAGCTGCCTAATCTGGCTGACATATCTGGCCCTTATAGTACTGATATTATGAATAACTGTTTTACTATGAAGCAGATAGCGAAGAAATGCTTTTATAGCATTAACATGCAACTATCTTCTAAAGTCAGTTAATGAGGCCAGTGAGTCGGACATTGTGAACATGAAATGAAAGGTAATTTTGAGGCAATATTCAGGTATAAAATAGTTACTATGTTAACAGCATTTTGATTCCAAAAAAAAGTTACCAGGCTATGTTTTTTTCTATGATTCTCTCATACTTCCTTTTCTTGCTGCTGGGAGTATAATAAAGAAAGAGAATGCATAATAGGAGCCTCCGTGTCTTTAATAAAATTGGAAATTGATTACGTTTGGGTTATTCTGCCTTTTTGTGGATCAACACCATAAATAGATCTAGGAATAGGGGAACTTGAAAGTTTTTTCAAACCAGATTACAATGCAACAACAGCAACAGCTGAGATTTAGCACATTTACCAGTAGTTCTTATAAGTGTACACTATACTTCCACGCTGTATACAGTTCAGTTATAATAAACTAAATATATGAAATGTTGAACTTGATTTTTTTTTCCCCAAGCCAGATTACAATGTAACAATAACAGCTGACATGCAGCACATTTACTAACAGTTCTTATAGGTCCTCACTATACTATTTAGTCTCTCTCTATATTTGGAAGGTAAACTAATTGGGAGCATGGTACATACAGACACAGTGAGCATGGATGCTCATTGCATTGTGTGCCACAGGGGTCAAATGAGTGATGGATAACCTTAGCTCTCCATATATTTCTGAACTACATTTCCCATGGTGCCCAACCAGTCTCTGGATCATGGGACATGTAGTGTAGTCCCGTTTGGGGAGAGCTGGTCTGCAGTCAGTGCATCATGGGACATGTAGTGTAGTCCTGTTTGGGGAGAGCAGGTCTGCACTCAGTGCAGTAGATGGAGTAGAGGGGAGTGTGCCCTCACAGTGCAGTACATGGAGTGTGCCCTCACAGTGCAGTACATGGAGTAGAGGGGAGTGTGCCCTCACAGTGCAGTACATGGAGTGTGCCCTCACAGTGCAGTACATGGAGTGTGCCCTCACAGTGCAGTACATGGAGTGTGCCCTCACAGTGCAGTACATGGAGTGTGCCCTCACAGTGCAGTACATGGAGTGTGCCCTCACAGTGCAGTACATGGAGTGTGCCCTCACAGTGCAGTACATGGAGTGTGCCCTCACAGTGCAGTACATGGAGTGTGCTCACAGAGTTCAGTGCAGTGAGGATCCTGAACTCCGCACTGTCTGCAGGGACCTGGTTCTTCTCCCGGGAGTACCTGCCCCCTCCATCCCCAGCGTGAGCCCCCAGCAGGGGCAGGAGACACAGGAGCAGCAGCCGGCTGATGGGAGCGGACATCTTCCTGGAGCTCAGAGCAACAATGCGAGGCCGAGCGAACGGTACCCTCTCACACGCCCTCCTATTGGCTAGACCGCACGCTCGTCATGCTGGCTGCACACGATCTTGGCAGCTATTGGCTAATCGCAAAACTAAGTGCCCGCCCTCTTGCTAGAGTTAACCCACGCACTGCCGGAACGTAGTGAAGCTGTGGTCTTGAATGCTTGTTCTCCAGCTCAGGAAGGAGAAAGCAGGGAATTGTTTATTTAGGGTCAGCTATTAAATGTAATGCTTGAATTGTCGGCCTTTGGAAAGTCAATAAACTTATAAAATGATATTTAAAAAAAAAAATAATAATAATAATAATATTGAAATAAATTTAATGTTTGTATTGTGTTCCAAAAATATTCATATAAATATATAAGTGGTACTGCTACTGTTGGATATTATGCTCAAATGCAGACTTTTTCAAGATGCCTTCAAGAACCTTACTAACACCTACAATTTATTTTTTAAATCTATTTTGTCATATTTAATTATTATTATTATTATTATTGCCATTTATATAGCGCCAACAGATTCCGTAGCGCTTTACAATATTATGAGAGTGGGGATTTAACTATAAATAGGACAATTACAAGAAAACTTACAGGAACGATAGGTTGAAGAGGGTCCTGCTCAAACAAGCTTATAGTCTGTATTGGATTTGTGCTATAAAGTATCTGAACGTATTCATTCCCCAATATTTCCACCTTTGGTTTTTGTCAGAATTGTTTCACTGAAAAGAAGATTCAACAACAAACCTGTCCATTAGTAATAGAAAAAATGAGGAGGTTAAGGTTACTGCAGTTAGTATCAAAAATTGAGAATTATAGAGAATATATTCACTGTGCTGCAAACACCTCTCTCATGCTCAAACAGTGCAGTAAATCTGCTATGTATGAAAAAATGAGGGCTGCTATAAGCTGCAGTGTGCGTTCCAGGGGCTATAGTGAAGGAAAAATACAAAGGTAGACGTTTCAGGGTAATCCCTTTCTTAATGGAGCATGTTCTGATAGCCTTTAGTAAGGCAGTATAGTGAGAATGTATTGGGAGAGATATTAAAGATGTGCATGTCCAAAAAAAAAAAAGTGTCTTGTTTCATTCCAATTAATTATTTTTTTAAATTTCGTTTCGTCTGAAAATTTTCAAATTATTCATTCAGAATTAAACAAAATTCAGAAAAAAGATATTGGTTTATCTTCCAAAATTCAGACCCCTTTATTCCCAATGATATCAAATTGGGGTGCTGTTTAGTAACGAACTCCCTAATTTGGTATCCTTAGTTATGGTAATCCAATGTAAGGATAGGATGCCAAATTAGTCAGCTATCTAGTAAAGAGCAAAAAATAGGAAAATACATTTTCCTTAAATTTTCTCTTTCAGTTATATAGAAGATAAATCTCTATTAACCCCCCCTAGTGACCAGACCGTTTTTCAATTTTCTTACCGTTAAGGACCAGGCCTCTTTTTACATTTCAGCTGTGTTTGTGTTTAGCTGTAATTTTCCTCTTACTCATTTACTGTACCCACACATATTATATACAGTTTTTCTCGCCATTAAATGGCCTTTCTAAAGATACCATTATTATCATCATATTATATAATTTACTGTCAATTTTTATTTATAAAATATGATGAAATTTTTTTAAAGAAAAACACACTTTTTCTAACTTTGACCCCCAAAATCTACTTTAACTTTAACACCCATGCTAAATAGTTTCTAAATTTTGTCCTGAGTTTAGAAATACCCAATGTTAACATGTTCTTAGCTTTTTTTTTTTTCTGCAAGTCATAGGGCTATAAGTACACGTAGGACATTGCTGTTTCAAAATATATATTTTTAAAATTTATCAAAAGTGACATTGTAACACTGTTATCGGTCATAAATCCCTGAATTACAACTCACATATACATATATTTTTTTTTAAGTAGACAACCCAGGGCATTCAATATGGGGTATGTGTAGTCTTTTTTAGTAGCCAAAGTTAGCATTTATATTTGTTCGTGTGTTAAAAATGCAAAAAACAAGTGGCTATTAAAAAAGACTGAACATACCCCATTTGCAATACCTTGGGTTGTCTTCATTTGCCAATGGTATTCCATCATGGGGGTAATTCTCATTCTTGGGCTACCATACGCTCTTAAAGGGAACTTAACCAATCTGGCAAATTTCAATGTGAAAAAACAGAAAATCAAGCCTTATATTTGATCCTGTAACTTTCAAAAACCCTATAAAACCTTTACATAGGGGGTACTGTTATACTCGGGAGACTTCGCTGAACACAAATATTAGTGTTTCAAAATAGTAAAATGTATCACAACAATGATGTGATTAGTGAAAGTGCCGTTTGTGTGTGAAAAATGCAAAAAACTTCACTTTCACTGACAATCTCGTCGCTGTGATATGTTTTATGGTTTTAAAACACTACTATTTGTGTTCAGTGAAATCACCCGAGTAAACAGTACTCCCTCCCCCCCCCCACCATGTACAGGTTTTATGGGTTTTTGCAAACTCACAGGAATCAAATGAAAGAAAACAGAGCATCACATGCAAAAAGGGGAAGCAAGTTATAGGTGCAGTGCTCTGTTCACTAATATAATTTCAAGAGAATTGACAGGTACCCTTTAATGGTAATACAAGGTTTGATATCAACACCTATTTATTACTCACAATTAAAGTTCGCATTACACTGGACATCAGACTACAACATCCATACACGTTATCGATCCATCTCGCTTAGAGTTAATCAAAATTCCATCATGATTCTTCTGTAAACTGGCGATTTCACAACTGATGTACCATAGGAGAATTATTCATTTTGCACACACAGCAATTCAACACAGTTCTATCACAAGTGACACATGGTGCATGGTCAGAGAAATATTGTGCTTGGTAAGTGATATCATAATTTTTTTTTTGATTGACACATGGATCGCTCAGTGTGAAGAGGCTTGAAATAGGTTATTGTATTATAGAATTAAACTTTACTCTATGGGAAAAATGTAAACTAAACACTTAATACACAGAGTACTTTAGTCAGAAGTCCATGACAACATCCAAGCGGTCGTTCCATAATCCAAGAGGAAAGGGATGACCTTATCATATTACTCATATCAAAAGAAAATAAAGCCAACTCAAAGAAAAAGTTAACATAATGCTAAGAAAACACACAAATATTCCCATTAGCACTGAGAATGTTATGAACCGATGTAACATAAGAAGTCAATATAATTAGTGAGCTTTGAAAGTGATAAAGAATAAAACATGCCCTATTGCCAACTTTAAGAGACACTACGGTCACCAGAGCCACTACAGCTTAATGTAGTGGCTCTGGTGTATACAGCCTGTGCCCGCAGGCCTTTTAATGTAAACACTGTCTTTCCAAATAAAAGGCAGTATTACAATTGCTGTCTAGGGACACCACTAGCTCTTTGCTCTTCACTGGAGATGCTGAACATTCCCCTTATATAGTTACATTGATTCAATGTATCTCTAGGATGAGATGCAGATTGGCGCAGCAAGTCTTGTCGAGTGGTTTTGTATGAGAAAACATTGGATTGGTTAAGATCATCATGCACTACTATGGAGGTGTCACGAATACAGGTTTGTGTTCCTGACACAATAGTGTTCCTTTAACCAACTATAGTAAATCCTGCAAGTGTTACTCCTGGAATAGGTAACAGGAGCAAGGTAGTGCTTTTGTTTTCACGACCTTGTCACTAGTGGTGTATTCTGGTTTTGTGCTGCCCTAGGCATGACAAAATTCAGGCACCCCCTTCTAAATTTCCCTTCCTGTTAAAAACCAACACGCTCTTTGCCTGACAGACACATGCCTTTACTGATGCATACACTGACATACACACAGTCATTGTCACACACAATGTTTAACCAACACACACTTTCACTAACACACACACATCCACCGACAGATACATGCATTCACTGACAGATACACATACACACTCAATGACAGATGGACAGTCACTCAGTGTCAGACACACACACATTCGCTGACATACACATTGACAGACACTCATACACACTAACTCATAGAGACTCCGGCATCAATGCAATGCGCGAGGGAGCTGAGCAGGGAAGAGCTCAGGGGAGAATGCACCCTCGCCGGATGCCTGCCTCCCATGACAAGAGGCTGGCATGGCATCTGCCGAGCGTTTTGGGGGCGGCTTTCTTTGCTGCCACCCTGACAGTGCAGCCCAAGGCAAATGCCTTGTCAACTGTGCGGTAAATACACTGCTGTTTGTCACTGCAAGCTTTATTAAAGTCAATATGTAAAAACTGACAAATTTTCTATGCCTGGTGCATCAATAAAATATCTAGCATGTATCTTACAGAAATATCTGGAACTATTTTTTTAACTTCTATGTTGTTAAGCCAAAGGCTTACCCCAAGGTGGAAGATTACCACTCTGTTGATCTTTTCTGTGCTTCCTGGGTTCTTAGGGATAAGGAAGAGGTCTTACCTCTTTACCCATCCGCGCCACCAGTAATGTGGATGTATTTGAAATATTTTAAGTAGATGTTGGTAAAGTTGACAGTGGTTACTAAAATATCTTGATTGCAAATATGACACTTGGGTAATGTGTACTACAGAGACACAATATAAATGTGTATTGAATTCTAGCTTGTGTCCAGACAGGCAAGTCAACAGAAATGTTGGGGCCCCTTAACATAGCTTAAGGTCTGGGCCCCTTGGGCCCACCACCCAGTCTGCCCACAGGGCCCATCCTAGAGTCTGCCCACAAAATGTAGGGTGTGTAGAGTGGATGCAGAGGGTGTGTAGTGAATACAGTGTGTTTGTGTAGAGCAGGGGTGCCCAAAAGGTCCCAGATGTTGTAGAACTACAAATCACATGATGCATGCCTTTGGAATGGCAAAGCATCATGGAAGCTGTAGTTTTAAAACATCTGTGGAGCTACCTTCTGGGCACCCATGATGTAGAGGATGCAGTGTATCGTGAATGTGGTGTGTATGTAGTGGATGGAGTGCGTGTGTGTAGTGGAAGCAAAGTGTGTCAGTTTATATGTAGG